GCATCCAAGCTTGAAGTTGTAGTTTTTCTTTTCAGCTTTCCTGATGTAGATAAAAAATATGTACCGTCCTGTCACACATAAAATAAAGGACTAATGTTACTCCACACAGATTTGGAGTCTAGATTTATATGGAAAAACACCCAATACTTTGATAAAAGTGTTTTTCCCATAAAACCTCATGTGCCCACACTATGGGTACTGCTCTCTTTTATAGCTTACTTCTAATGACTCTTTCTTCTCCCTAAGCATATAAGTGAAACATTCAGCATTCCAATAAAACCCTTATGACCTTTTTCCTTTATGGCTTGAATATGTTTCCTTGTGCTTTTATACCTGATCAACAGTTCTTTTTCCCCCCTAATTTTTTACATGTTTGTTATGTAAAAGTTTATTTGAAATTCTTGTTAAATTGAGGTTTCCTTTATTTGAATTTCAGGTATCTGATATATTCTCAGATTCCCCCTTCAGGGTTTTTGCCGATACTTTGCAAAGTGGGGGAGTTCTCAAAGTTTTATGCGTACCTTCAGGTGCTAAAAGCTATTCAAACACGGCTCTAAAGAAGGGTGATCTTTACAATGAAGCAATCAAATCTGGAGCGAAGGGTTTGCCTTTCCTCAAGGTCTTGAATGATGGTAAGAAAGTAATTTTATTTTAATTTGTGATGCTTAAGATATATTTCTATTGCAGTATCTCACTATTGGCGGTTTTCTACCTTTTTTTCTTAGGGGGAATTGAGGGAATTCCTGCGTTGGTATCTACTATGGATCCAACAAATACCGAGCAGTTTCTGAGTCGTTGCTCTGCCAGACCAGGTGATCTTATCTTGTTTGCAGTGGGTCATCATTCATCAGTTAATAAAACTCTAGATCGACTACGGGTCTATCTGGCACACGAGCTTGATTTGGTTGATGATGTAAGTGTTACCATCAAATTATAAGGTGAATATTGATCATAGTTATTCTCATTTGCTGACTCTTTTTCTTTTGGACTTTATGGCTAATATCTAGTCCAGGCATTCAATTCTGTGGGTGACCGATTTCCCAATGTTTGAATGGAATGATTCTGAGCAAAGGCTGGAGGTATTTCTCTTGTTCAAATTCCATCTCTTGCAGTTTAACTAGGTGATATATGTTTTTTTACATTACAAATTTGTACTAACACTGATTCATAATTGAGTTGTCATCAATGGGAACCTATTATACGGGTGAGATATTAATCCTTGCATATCATCAAGATATCCTGGATTTATTGTGGGGTTTGAGCAGTCTCTGGTCACTGGATGTATTCCTTTTGCATCCAAAGTAGATGAAAGAAAATTATTGAAGACTAAAAGGAATTAATGGGAATTAAATGATACTTGTGAAGTATTGTATTTGATTTTGAAGAAAGGATTTGTGGGCAACTGTTGGAGAACCTCTTAGTAATTTGTAAATCTTTATTGCATCTTCCATCTCTTCTTGTCTGTACAATGCTGCATATATGCTCAAAATCACTATTGATTTTCAGGCCTTGCACCACCCTTTCACTGCCCCAAATCCTGAAGACATAAAAGATCTTTCTTCTGCTCGTGCTTTAGCTTATGACATGGTTTACAATGGAGTTGAGGTACACCTTTGTTACTTTTTTCCTCTCAGCTTGAAGTCAAATGCATTTGCTAATTTTCTCTCCTAGATAATAAATTGATGTGGTGTTTCCTATGGTGCCATCAGATTGGTGGGGGAAGTTTAAGAATATATAAACGTGAGGTGCAGCAGAAAGTTTTGGAAATTGTTGGTATCTCCCCTGAAGAGGTGAGTGCACTTTTACGTTGTATTTGGGCCTGTGGAGAGATGACTATTATGTCTACTGTTTATCACCATTTACTGTTAATCTTTCTGATGTACTTGGCTTACTGATTCCGTTTCTTATTTTAATGTGCTCAAACTTTAGCTCTAGACCTTTGGCTTCATTATGAGCTCAGTAATATGAACACCTTGTTCTCTCCAATAATGTGGTGGCATTGTATTTGGCCTGCAGGCTGAAGCGAAGTTTGGCTATCTTCTTGAGGCTTTAGACATGGGTGCCCCTCCACATGGTATTGAATTCTATACCTAGGGCATGGCTCTATAACAGCCTAATTACTAGGAGTCCGATTGATAAATTAACTTACAACTATCTTTTAAATGATTATTGTTCTTTTTCTTCTAGAATTAATTGAGTATACTTTTAATTTTGATGCAGGGGGGATTGCTTATGGTTTGGATAGATTGATTATGTTGTTGGCGGGTGCTAATTCCATTAGGGATGTCATAGCTTTCCCGAAAACGACAACTGCACAGTGCGCCCTCACGCGAACACCATCTCAGGTGGATCCGCAGCAGCTAAAGGATCTATCGTATCAGACTCATTAGTACAATCTTCAATCAGCTTATCCACATCAGAAGATATAGCTACCCATATTTCTGTTCCCTAATTGTTATTGCACTTGATCATTGAGCTTGTGTGGTCTGGACAAGTCAATTTTTGATTTCCCAGGGAACTATATAGTACTGTCTGTTTAAGATATTTATGATAAGTTTTCTTTTTTCTTATTCATAAACCCCACGATACCCAATCTTATTAATGACCCAGAACTGAACAACAGATTTTTTGCATTGTATGGGTCGATAATTTTTCTTTCTTTGTTTTGGTTTAATGCAAATTATCAGTTGCAATACCAGAAATTCTTCATGTTCATTCATACTATGGCCACCACTTGACTTCACAAACAGTCTAGTGGTTCATACTTCAAATGGAAAGAAAGATAAATGCTAGACTCACTTCAATCAACTGTTGACAGTCTGACTATGCACATGGACGACTTTCATTAGCATTTCTTGAGAATATTGAAAGCTTGATGATGAGATCAAATTTTTCACATCAGTAGCACTCATAAGTGTTTGTACTAAAAGCACATTGACATTTTTATTAATTTCCATGTATTTTTAAGTTTTTTGTTCAACGCTTATATAAGTGCTTTTGATTATCAGAAACAGCTTTTAGCCATTCCAATTTCAGAAGCCGTCTCAAATAGACACTTATTAGTCTAGTTATACTTCTCTTCCTAATGTTGAACTAGATTTTTATGTGCTTTGTCTTTGAAAAGGCTATGGTATCTTAATACCAGAGATTGATTACCAATTGCATATAGTTAACCATTCCAGGGAAAATCTCTTTTTTGAACATGCTTTCTCTAATACATACCTACTTTAATTCTAATTAACAAGATCTAAATGTCGTTCGTATCCAATTTTGTAATCATCATGCATAAAAATGGATGCCACGATGGTTATACATAATTTCCTTCCGTCAGTAATTTTGTGGGTTGTAAGCATCAGTTACACAACACTAGAATAAATTTGTGGAAAAATAATAATATAACGAGCCCATACTATAATTTTCTTGTTTTTATTCTATGTCTAAAAGTTATAGAGCTCATAATTCATTAACTTCTAATTGAGAAAAACCTCCGAACTTTTTACGAGCATACATGATCTAGAACTTATATAATTCCACATTATATATGGAACAAAACCTATGTTACGCATATCTAGACCTAATTATGATGATATCTCAACTATAATTGATCTAGAAACTAGTTAGATACCCCGTTTTCTTTTCCTTTGAATTGTTTTCTTTCTCCTTTTGTTTATATGTATGATTTAACCTAATAATTATCAGAAAAATGATGTGAGATGAAGGTTTTATATATGTCTACCCAATATTACTTATCCTTCATTTCTACAGGACTTTTGTGATTAATTTGTCATTTGCGTACTCACCAAGCATGCAAATTAAAGTTGGATTTCAAGATTTTCTTGGCTTGTAGTATTCTTGCCAATGCTACTTGTTTGGAATTCCAAATCCAACCTATAACATATTGAACTCATTAAAACTAAAGAGATAAAAGGATAACGTACGGGTAATTATGCTATCTGATCATAGATATTTGGTCTGTTATATTGTCGAACTATCAATATGGACCTTAAAATTAAAAAGATTTTATTTCAATAATTCAAATTGATAGTGTGGACACAAGATAATTTTATGAGAGAAAAATGAATCTAGCGATTTATTATAATTTTTCTTGTGCATGCATGTATGTGTTGTCTCTCGCATCGATAAATAATAAGAATGGGTGTAACAGGTCAAGGATGAATAAAATTCATGAAGTGCATACCATGTATGCTAAGAGAAAAAGATTCCAAATTCTCCCAAACTGGTATATGAGTAACCATATGCAAAGAGTTAAAAATATTGACAGCAAATTATATAGTAATTTGTAGACCTATTATAACCCAACAAGTTTCCAAGTAATGCTAGATGACTACCTTTTTAGACCAAATGCAATATTAAAGTACAATATTAAAGTACATTATGTGACAGATGAGGTACACTTGCCACAAATTATTATGACCAATATATTGGTAATTGCCAGTACTCATAAGACACATATCGTGGTTCACTCATCAGATCCAAAAATATGATTTTTTACCATAAAAGTGAATTTCTAAGTATAAACCCTAATATATACCCCGTCCCCTTCCCTGATCCCTATCCCAAACAATATAAACAACCCCATTTGTCTCAATCTCTGCCTCTTTGCTTGGTTTTCTTTGCTTGATTTTAGCCATGGTGAGGAAGAGCAAGGGTAGGCAAAAGGTGGAGATGGTCAAGATGGCCAATGAGAGCAACCTCCAAGTGACCTTCTCAAAGCGCAGGTCTGGTCTCTTCAAGAAGGCCAGTGAGCTTTGCACTTTGTGTGGTGCTGAGGTGGCCATCATAGTCTTCTCCCCGGGGCGAAAGGTCTTTTCCTTCGGCCACCCCTGCGTGGAGACTCTCATTGATCGGTACCTCTCCCGAAACCCGCCTCATCTCCATCACCACCAAAACTCTGGCACAATGCAGCTCATTGAGGCCCACCGCAATGCCAATGTGCGTGAGCTCAACGGCGAGTTGACTCAGATCTCGAATCAACTCGAGGTTGAGAAGAAGCGTGGGGATGAGCTGAACCAGGTGAAGAAGGTGACTCAGGCTCAGTGCTGGTGGGAGGGGCCATTGGAAGGGATGGAGATGTCACAGCTGGAGCAGCTCAAGACCTCTCTTGAGGAGCTGAAGAAGAATGTGGCCAAACAGGCTGATAGGGTTTTGATTCAAAACACAAACCCTAGCCAATTCTTTGTGGGGAGTAGTTCCAGTCATCCCAATGTTGGGTTCAATGGAAATCATGTTATGCCTCCTCATCTTCCTCACCATGCATGGAATCCTGGATATGGACGCTTCTTCTGAAGATTGATCTCTTCAGGATGATGTTGATGATGATGATGCTGATATTAATTACTTATTAGCCACAGCCACAGTCTTTTATTTTCCATATTTTGTTATCTATATATGTACTTGTTATTGTGTGTTTAATTTCTATTGTCTGGTATATGGTTGTAATCCATATATATGCATGTGTTATGTTTGTTTTACTATTGTTTTGTTATCTATATATGTACTTTGTTCACTTCTTTTGAGTATATGAAGACATCCTTGCTAAGGGAATCAATATTTTTACTTATCCTAATTCTTCTAACCCTTCTCTTTTAGACTTACTTGACTTACTTACATATTTGATTCACTTTTAACTAAAGGAAATTAGAAACTACGACTTTCTATGTACCTTGAAGCACCCAATATTCTTTGAAGAATAATGCTATAATACAGTACATCAAAATAAATTCTAAAATTTTAGAGACGTAATCAACTCTACTGATCTGATAACACTCTAATCATACGTTTAAATTTCACCTAGTTAATTTTTAACAACTAATACGTTGTCATAAATCATTTTTCAAATCATTTGGTGATATTATATATACAAGGACATGCATTTTAGGTTTTTATATATTGTCAATTTACGGGACAAGACGAGGGTGAGTTGTTAGTGATAACATGAGAAGATTTTCTTTTTCTATACAATCTGGCATGATGCTATGTTGTCTGAATGTTTATTTGTTCACTGTATGTTACAGATTTACGTCCGGTATATAAATGGAAATCAGACACGGGGAGAGAGGGGTTGGGTTGCCGGACTGTGATAACTACATAAGAGATTTATCTTGCTAGACAGTCTAGCATGATATGCGAGACTGTTAATTTGGATCAATTATAGGTAAAACTTGATTAATGTATAATACAATTCACAGTATGGTATATAAATGATAACTGGAGGGGAATGAATTGCCAGACTGATAATATGGGAGATTTTATCTTGCTGGACAGTTTGGCATGCTATATATGCTATGTATCAACCTATTAATTTAGACCATGGATAGGTAACTTGTCCAGTGTTTGGCAACATTACGTGCAGGAAATCTATATGAATATGGGCTTGGTGTGTTTCCGAATTGCAATATTTGTAACTGAAGAAATTTTCTCTTACTAGGTTGTATCTCTATATCATATTACATAGACAAATTGTCAATTTGGATAATTCCTAAGTGAAAGCATGTTTTGAATGTATTTGCATGTCATGGGTTAGAATGGGGCTGAGTTTGCCCTACCCATCCCAATATCTACCACATACATACTCTGAAATGACAAAGATTATGTCTTTTCTCAAACTAATAACATTATGAAAAACTGTTACCTATATTATAACATGTGAATTAGTAACATTACGTATTGGTGTGATCATCACCAAAAATAAAAAATAAAAAATCAATGTCGTTAACTTGTCGATAATTCTTTTCTTCACGACACACATCTCATTATAGGGGTTGGATCACATGGGATCCTATTTGACATAAAAAAATTGGTATCCTTATTAATGTGACTAAAGTATCGAATAGATACCATATCATTTTTTTTAATGTGTAATCAACCAAAGTGGGGAGTTCAAATTGGGACCTTTTCCGATATTAAGGAGATCATATCACAAAACTAAGAGCTAGTTGGTGTATCATGGGAAAATCTACATTATAATGCATGCTTATTTGTTTCGAGAATACTATTTCCTTTTCTTATATATATATAGTTAAATGTAAGTGATTTATCTTTAGAGTAAACACCCATATGGCGGTGATTCTTGTTGACTTACCAAAAGTCATATAGTTTCTATATTATGTCAATGATCAATATGTTATTATTTTCATAGTAATTATAAATTAAGTGAGTAGAGATTTATAACTTCCAAAAGATCTTGGATTAATCATATACGGTACTAGTGTCAATAGGGCATTAAGGCCTCATTGAATAATACAATAATATGCTAACATAAGTGCTAATTAAGTGAATTAATCGTAAATAACCCTATAAATACATATGTTTTATCCCTCCCCAACCATCACAAGTAATATTGGACAAGATCAAAACAAAGCTAAGCATTCGGTGTCTATCTATCCCCTCTTCTCTTTAATCATCCTCCAAATTTCTACAATGGTGATGAAGATCAAGAAACCTAGCCAAGGTCGCCAAAAGATTGCAATTGCCAAAATTGAAAAGAGAAGCAATTTACAAGTCACATTCTCAAAACGTCGTTCAGGGATCTTCAAGAAGGCCAGTGAGATGTGCACACTTTGTGGGGTTGAGATTGCAATCATAGTCTTCTCTCCTGCCAACAAGCCCTTCTCCTTTGGCCACCCTGAGGTTGACTCCATCGTTGACCGCTTCATTGCTCGGAACCCTAACCCTAATCCCCTAGGCCTAGCGGGGTCTACAGACACCACTCAACAGCTTGCTGAGGCTCACAGGAATTCTAGTGTTCATGAGCTTAACATGCAGCTAACCCAGATTGTGAATCGGTTGGAGGCTGAGAAAAAACATGGAGAAGCACTTGATAAAATGAGCAAAGCTAGTCAAAACCAGTGTTGGTGGGAAATGCCAGTTGATGAACTTGGATTGCATGAGCTTCAGATATTGAAGGCCTCGGTTGAGGAGATCAAGAGGAATGTGAATAAACAAGCCAACAGGATTTTGATGGAGTCTAGAAACCCAAGTGCTGCTGCTAATTATTCTTCATCACCCTTGTCTATGATGAATAATATTGGTGGTTTAGTTCAACGTGATATCGATGATCATTATCGTTTCGAGAGCAAAAACCCTACTGATCAGATTGCACCTGCCTATCATTTTGGTTATGCTGGCCATGGTCTTTTTTGAGTTTTCCTTGTTTTGATGTTCTTTGATTTCTCATGAAGGGAGTTACACTTTCTTTATGGTTTGTAATTATAAATAATCAATAATTAATGGACAATGTTTAACCGGATATTTCACTAAAATTAGGAAATAATACACTCATAATGTTGAAGGAGGACATGCTTTTAAAAGCATAGGGTTCCCTCAATCATTTAAATGGGATGATTATTATAATTAAATCCTTCATAAACACAATTAACTAGTAATTATATCTAAACACAACACAATTAAATCCTTGGTTTTTTCCTCCTGTCTCAAATTTCTGGGTTTAATGTGATCGACCATAACGGTAAAAGAGATAAAATGAGGTAAGTAAATGAAAGTAGTGGGTTGAAACATAAGTTTCATTTCTTAATTTCTTTTTTTTGGGAGAGAACATAAGTTTTTTTTTTTTTTTTTTTGTTTTTCATATTATTTTTTTCAGTACAAGTTATAGCCAAAATTACAGAGAATGAAGATTTCTCACACACACACGCACAACTATAATGCCGTGGGGAAAAAGTTATGTTTTTCATATCAAGATCAACAAAAAGAATTCTCCTTATAAAGTGGATTTTCCAATATATTTACATGCTAACTTCCATAATCAAGTTTTACGAATCCAAATTCTCCAAATACTACATCTCCATCCATCGTATCTAGACTATGAAATCACTTCTAAATTAAATGATTTTTTTTTTCTTTCTGGTTTTGCCGAAATTTCTAAACCCGGTTTTTTTCCTTGATAAAACAGGCGGTTGTATATGTCTGGTTTTATTCAGGAGTAGTGCAATATAACTTTTTTTCTGAAGTGCAACTTGTGGGCTATTAAATCACTGGCTTGGATGAACTTATGGGACAAGTATTGCCTACTAAGTTGGGCCAGAAAATTTGCTGCAAAAATAATGGACTACTGGGATAGATCTCACTACCAAACAGCTAAAGGCTAATCCACTTTATCCATGAATGACGTCTCTAATGCGATCATCTTAATTAGGAAAAGAACTTCTATGCAACGAGGATGTTACTGTGGCGGTATTTTAAGTCAATAACATATTACTATGTGAGATAGTTAAAATACATGACAATGTGTGATTAATTTGTGATACCGCAACAATGACATCTTCAGTGTAGGTTGTTTCTCTTCTTAATTTCGAGAAGGCATGCCAAGTATTACTTTGTTATATCTCAATAACAATGTCACACTTACATTTTACAAATAATAATAATAAAATGACAAGTTACATAGAATTGACACTGAAAATAGCACCTTATTGTGGTTTGAAAAATAATGTAACAAGATTGATAGACACATAATTATATAAACATACAATCCATAATGGATTTTTTTTTTCTCTTCTTGGAGATGGTCCACACACTTTCTTAAAAAATATATCATTATCTTCCATCAAACAAATAAAATTAATATTATCTCAACATAAAATTGCCACCCGATAATTAATAATTAGCACCCACGTCACTACACCAAGCCATGCCCCAATTTGTTTACGAGTGCAGTAAATACAGCCGAAATGGACATATTTTTTTCCCTTTCTTTTTGGTGAAAATGGATAGATTTGTTATGTTCTATCTTTCTGTCTCACTTTTTTTATTATCAAATTGTGTCGCATATATTCGTTTAGAAAAATACTTCTCTACATTCCCTTGTAAGTAGGAGTTCATATATTACTATTAATAACAGTGTGACATATGTGTATAAATTTTTCTTTTAATATTTTTGATGAATTACTTTTATATGTACATGAAACTGTAATTTACAAAAAAAGCAAGCAGTATCCATTTATTTATGCTTATGTTCCTCCCAAACATAAAAAAACTAGACTAGATCCTTGGCTGAAATGACTGTAAAATTAAATAATAAATAATTCTCTTTTAAAAAAAACTATATTCTGGAAAAATTAGCAAGTCTGCACGTGTAACATTTAGCATCCAATGTTTATGCTGCCAGCAAATTGAAAATAAAGTTCCCTTATTATTATAGATCAGATCCGATACTGACAAATATCTGAGGTGGCATCTATTATCGTCACGTGATCAGTGGGTAGCCGATTTAAAATCCCAGCCCAGCCCAACCCAGCCCACAGTTTTTAAAAATCAATCATTTAACTTACATTGGACCATCCGTGGGACCCACTTTTGATGTGGTTGGTCAGAATAGCGTCCACCCCCGGACCTCTCTGGCGCCACATAATTCGGGGCACAGCTGTCCTCTGGTTGGAGCCCCGACAGGCCTCCAACGGATCGCCCTGTAGCGCATTATTTCATAACAATTTCCAAAGCTGGCGGGCCCGAATTGGATCCGTACGCCCGAACACACAAACCGACAAGGGGTCCGAATATTTTTTTAGTTTTCTTTTTCATTTTTTGTTTTTTATAATTTATGACTTGGATGCTGTCTCCGCTGGCAAATTGAAATATACATGGTACGTGCGCATTGTGATCCAGCTCGTCTTACAACCCACGCATGCTTATACGTTATTTAAATGGGGTCCAGCTTGGCTGCGGCTGTGTTTGTGCGACTGTCTGTGAGCCCGCTATGCGACCGTGACATATGTCTGCCCAGTCATATTTTCATTCAAGTTAGTCTAATTTTCAATATTAATAATAATTTTATAAAAAAAAATTATCTGTAATTTTTTTTTTTTTACAACATTTATTTATGATTTATTATTCTTATTTTTTAGGCTGGTCACTGTATACTAACATATATGTAAGTATTTAAGTAAAATCATCATTAAAATGTCACCGATATAAAATGTTATAAACTACGTCAATAGATGTGTTGCCTTAATAACCTGAATAATTAACGTAAATTTACTGAAGTAATATTAATCTAAATTGTATGCAAGTTTTTAAAGTTAAACTTCCTTAGAACTTCGTTGTTAGTACGAAAATATAAATTAATTTGTGCTTCGCAATCAATATCCTTATTGTACATGCCATAAACATCCAAGGTGATATAATGTTATGATTCTTTCATTTCGTAAGTTAATAAATTTTTGTAACATGTGTAACTTATACATATTGAATGAGACAACGAAGATATACATCATTTTAAGAAAATATGTTATCATAGGTAACTTGAACAATTATCGTAAATTTTGTGAAACATATTAATCTACAACTAAGAACTGATGAATACATACAAAGTCTCCAAAACTAGATCCATGAGAGGTGGGCAATGTGCATTGACAATGTAGAAGTTAACATATATGTTAATTTTTTTTCTTTATCGGGCTTATTCTCGTATTCGTAGAATCATTTTTTGAAAACCACAGTAGTATTACGAAAACATGGTGCTCTTACCAAAATTTTAATAAAATGGTTTTTATCAAGCAATTATTTTACCTAGATTACATCCCATAAAACTCCTGCTAATAATGGTCTTAACTTAAGTTTGCATAAAATTAGTTTTGTAATTTGTTTTGTAATTACTATAAAAAAACTATTTAAATCTTAATAGGAAAATTAGAAGAACGAAAAAGAAAAGAGAGTGCAGGCTGAGGTCATTGAGGTCGGTCGCAGTATATCTCTACACATATCCAAAGTGCTCTAGCTGTGTTTACAGCCTGTTTCACCTTCATATCTCTATCTTCCTCTTTCAGTCTTCCTACTCTCTCTCTCTCTGCTCCCTTATATTCCTCATCCCACCCAACCCAACCATCAAAACTATCGAACTCCCAAATCAGAACCAGACAAACGCCAAAAAGACTTCAATGGATCCGTGCCCATTTGTACGGATCCTAGTCGGAGACTTGACCGTCAAGTTTCCCACGGCATCCAGGCCATCCTCCTCCACCGTCCACCCGTCGTCGTCCCCTTGCTTTTGCAAGATCAAACTCACCAACTTCCCCCACCAATCCTCTACAGTCCCTCTGATCCTAAGCAACGGTCAAAACCTAGATACGACGACCCACGATCACTCCCTCTCCGCCTGCTTCAATTTGAACAAAACCCAAATTGTGATCGACCATAACGGTAAAAGAGATAAAATGAGGTAAGTAAATGAAAGTAGTGGGTTGAAACATAAGTTTCATTTCTTAATTTCTTTTTTTTGGGAGAGAACATAAGTTTTTTTTTTTTTTTTTTCTGTTTTTCATATTATTTTTTTCAGTACAAGTTATAGCCAAAATTACAGAGAATGAAGATTTCTCACACACACACGCACAACTATAATGCCGTGGGGAAAAAGTTATGTTTTTCATATCAAGATCAACAAAAAGAATTCTCCTTATAAAGTGGATTTTCCAATATATTTACATGCTAACTTCCATAATCAAGTTTTACGAATCCAAATTCTCCAAATACTACATCTCCATCCATCGTATCTAGACTATGAAATCACTTCTAAATTAAATGATTTTTTTTTTCTTTCTGGTTTTGCCGAAATTTCTAAACCCGGTTTTTTTCCTTGATAAAACAGGCGGTTGTATATGTCTGGTTTTATTCAGGAGTAGTGCAATATAACTTTTTTTCTGAAGTGCAACTTGTGGGCTATTAAATCACTGGCTTGGATGAACTTATGGGACAAGTATTGCCTACTAAGTTGGGCCAGAAAATTTGCTGCAAAAATAATGGACTACTGGGATAGATCTCACTACCAAACAGCTAAAGGCTAATCCACTTTATCCATGAATGACGTCTCTAATGCGATCATCTTAATTAGGAAAAGAACTTCTATGCAACGAGGATGTTACTGTGGCGGTATTTTAAGTCAATAACATATTACTATGTGAGATAGTTAAAATACATGACAATGTGTGATTAATTTGTGATACCGCAACAATGACATCTTCAGTGTAGGTTGTTTCTCTTCTTAATTTCGAGAAGGCATGCCAAGTATTACTTTGTTATATCTCAATAACAATGTCACACTTACATTTTACAAATAATAATAATAAAATGACAAGTTACATAGAATTGACACTGAAAATAGCACCTTATTGTGGTTTGAAAAATAATGTAACAAGATTGATAGACACATAATTATATAAACATACAATCCAAAATGGATTTTTTTTTTCTCTTCTTGGAGATGGTCCACACACTTTCTTAAAAAATATATCATTATCTTCCATCAAACAAATAAAATTAATATTATCTCAACATAAAATTGCCACCCGATAATTAATAATTAGCACCCACGTCACTACACCAAGCCATGCCCCAATTTGTTTACGAGTGCAGTAAATACAGCCGAAATGGACATATTTTTTTCCCTTTCTTTTTGGTGAAAATGGATAGATTTGTTATGTTCTATCTTTCTGTCTCACTTTTTTTATTATCAAATTGTGTCGCATATATTCGTTTAGAAAAATACTTCTCTACATTCCCTTGTAAGTAGGAGTTCATATATTACTATTAATAACAGTGTGACATATGTGTATAAATTTTTCTTTTAATATTTTTGATGAATTACTTTTATATGTACATGAAACTGTAATTTACAAAAAAAGCAAGCAGTATCCATTTATTTATGCTTATGTTCCTCCCAAACATAAAAAAACTAGACTAGATCCTTGGCTGAAATGACTGTAAAATTAAATAATAAATAATTCTCTTTTAAAAAAAACTATATTCTGGAAAAATTAGCAAGTCTGCACGTGTAACATTTAGCATCCAATGTTTATGCTGCCAGCAAATTGAAAATAAAGTTCCCTTATTATTATAGATCAGATCCGATACTGACAAATATCTGAGGTGGCATCTATTATCGTCACGTGATCAGTGGGTAGCCGATTTAAAATCCCAGCCCAGCCCAACCCAGCCCACAGTTTTTAAAAATCAATCATTTAACTTACATTGGACCATCCGTGGGACCCACTTTTGATGTGGTTGGTCAGAATAGCGTCCACCCCCGGACCTCTCTGGCGCCACATAATTCGGGGCACAGCTGTCCTCTGGTTGGAGCCCCGACAGGCCTCCAACGGATCGCCCTGTAGCGCATTATTTCATAACAATTTCCAAAGCTGGCGGGCCCGAATTGGATCCGTACGCCCGAACACACAAACCGACAAGGGGTCCGAATATTTTTTTAGTTTTCTTTTTCATTTTTTGTTTTTTATAATTTATGACTTGGATGCTGTCTCCGCTGGCAAATTGAAATATACATGGTACGTGCGCATTGTGATCCAGCTCGTCTTACAACCCACGCATGCTTATACGTTATTTAAATGGGGTCCAGCTTGTCTGCGGCTGTGTTTGTGTGAGTGTCTGTGAGCCCGCTATGCGACCGCGACATATGTCTGCCCAGTCATATTTTCAATTCAAGTTAATCTTTCAATATTAATAATAATTTTATAAAATGTTTTTATTTGTAAAAGATTTTTTTTTATTTTTACAACATTTATTTATGATTTATTATTCTTATTTTTTAGGCTGGTCACTGTATACTAACATATATGTAAGTATTTAAGTAAAATCATCATTAAAATGTCACCGATATAAAATGTTATAAACTACGTCAATAGATGTGTTGCCTTAATAACCTGAATAATTAACGTAAATTTACTGAAGTAATATTAATCTAAATTGTATGCAAGTTTTTAAAGTTAAACTTCCTTAGAACTTCGTTGTTAGTACGAAAATATAAATTAATTTGTGCTTCGCAATCAATATCCTTATTGTACATGCCATAAACATCCAAGGTGATATAATGTTATGATTCTTTCATTTCGTAAGTTAATAAATTTTTGTAACATGTGTAACTTATACATATTGAATGAGACAACGAAGATATACATCATTTTAAGAAAATATGTTATCATAGGTAACTTGAACAATTATCGTAAATTTTGTGAAACATATTAATCTACAACTAAGAACTGATGAATACATACAAAGTCTCCAAAACTAGATCCATGAGAGGTGGGCAATGTGCATTGACAATGTAGAAGTTAACATATATGTTAATTTTTTTTCTTTATCGGGCTTATTCTCGTATTCGTAGAATCATTTTTTGAAAACCACAGTAGTATTACGAAAACATGGTGCTCTTACCAAAATTTTAATAAAATGGTTTTTATCAAGCAATTATTCAGAACCAGACAAACGCCAAAAAGACTTCAATGGATCCGTGCCCATTTGTACGGATCCTAGTCGGAGACTTGACCGTCAAGTTTCCCACGGCATCCAGGCCATCCTCCTCCACCGTCCACCCGTCGTCGTCCCCTTGCTTTTGCAAGATCAAACTCACCAACTTCCCCCACCAATCCTCTACAGTCCCTCTGATCCTAAGCAACGGTCAAAACCTAGATACGACGACCCACGATCACTCCCTCTCCGCCTGCTTCAATTTGAACAAAACCCAAATCGAAAGCTTAGCCTCCAAGCGGCCCTGTTTGAAGATTTCGATCTACACGGGTCGGGTCGGCGTCACGTGCGGGTTACAAAGCGGGAAATTGTTGGGTCGGGTTATTGTGCCGTTGTCGGACCTGGGTTTGGCGGAGTCCAGACCCGTCGTGTATCAGAACGGGTGGGTCGCCATTGGAGGAGGGAAGAAGAATGGCAGTGGGTCCTCGTCGGCGCAGTTGTTTTTGAGCGTCCGGGCGGAACCCGACCCGAGATTCGTTTTCCAGTTCGACGGAGAGCCCGAGTGTAGCCCTCAGGTTTTTCAAGTGCAAGGGAATGTGAAGCAGCCGGTGTTCACTTGCAAGTTTGGGTTCAGAGATATGCAATCGAGGTTAGTTTATTTCACTTCTTTCACTCTCGTTCACCCTGTTTGGTTGCCGAGAAAATCACTCAATTCCCCCTCGTGAAATTAATTGATTTTTCAAAACGGCAAACAAATCTATCGTCGCGAAGTCAAAATTTTCCCCATTTACTAATTTCTTTTTTTATTGGATTTGTTTCAACAGGTCAATCTCTTCAGAGCCAGGCACACCGAGAAATTGGCTGCCTTTTGGTGGGGCCCACAAGGAGCAAAGCGCGAAGGAGCGAAAAGGGTGGTCCATTACGATCCACGACCTGTCCGGCTCGCCCGTGGCGGCGGCTTCCATGGTGACGCCGTTCGTGGCCTCGCCCGGCTCACACTGCGTAAGCCGGTCCAACCCTGGGGCGTGGCTCATCCTCCGACCGAACGAGGGCACGTGGCAGCCGTGGGGACGGCTCGAGTCGTGGCTCGAGCGCGGCGGGTCCGACACGGTCGGCTACAGGTTCGAGCTCCAGAACACGACGCTCGCGAACTCCACCCTCGGCGCGAAAACTGGCGGGAAATTCTCGATCGACCTGACGTCGAGCCCCACTCCGGCGAACAGCCCTCACAGCAGCTTCGACTTCGGGTCCGGAACCGGGTCGAGGCCTGGATCAGGATCAGGGTCGGACTTCGGGTTCGGGTTGTTCCCGCAGTTGATTCAGAGAGGGTTTGTGATGTCGTCGACGGTGGAAGGCGTCGGGAAGTGTAGCAAGCCGGAGGTCGAGGTCGGGGTGCAGCACGTGACCTGCACGGAGGATGCGGCTGCTTACGTGGCATTGGCGGCGGCGATGGATCTGAGCATGGATGCTTGCCGCCCGTTTTCTCAGAAGCTCCGGAAGGAGCTAAGGCAGCAGTAGATTCGGAAGGCGGGGGTTGTCGTTTCGCGGGGAAGGGTTTGTCGTTTTGTAGTTGGGTAGGCATTGGATTCGTTTTTTTGGCGATTAACTGCCAACACAGCATTTTTTTGCTGCCAATTTATTTTTATTTTTATAATTTTTTTTTGGATGAGACTGTACAGTGAGGAATGAGTAGGCAGGATTTTAATTTTTAAATCAATTTTATTTTCTTGTGATCTGTGAATTCTTGTTGGGCTATTTTGTTAATACATGGTTTGAGTTTTTCTTCGAGGAAGAATCCAATGATGGGTGGCACAGATTCAAGTCTAGACTGTGTGCAGTGGATCATTATTAAGTACTTGATTATGTGATTAGTAGTCCTACTTAGTTGTTGATTATGTGATTAGTATTACTTGATTGTGTATAATTGTGATTAGTACTACTACTTAGAGTTGTGTATATTATTATTTGTGGGATTAGCCTTATTGACAACTTGTGGATATTATGCTTGTGACAACTTTTTATTTTATTTTTTAAACTTAGGAGTAGTCATGATTTTCTTTCTAGAAATGTCATGTTTATAAAGTTAAAAGTGCTAATTTGGTTGGTCTATACGTATAGATTTGTTATAAAAATATAGATAGAGAATGGTGAAATATTCAGAATGCTACAAAATGTCATAGTAATTTTTTTTAGTACTACAAAATGTCATAGTTAATGTAAATATTAAGAAATGAAACTATTCATTAAATAAAGATAATATAATAAATCTCTCGTACGGAGTCACCACTTTGGCCAACACTTTACCCCTTACGGGCCGACCCGGTGTGAGTGGGGATTAGTCTGGGTTGTGGTTAAGGCTTAAAGGTGCCACCCATAGTTGTGGCCCATCCAGGACCACCTCATGGTTCAGACCAAAAAAAAAGAAAGATAATATAATAAATTAACTGTATTTCATATTTTTTTTAAAAGAAAACTGAAATTGAAAAACAAAATAAGAATATAAGTTTTATTATTATGAGACATTTTATCTTTCCTAATTATGAAATAAATAAAAACAATTGCCAAAGGGTTTAGTGTTATAAATTGGGTAAAAATTTGATAACATGACACAAACAAAACATGAAATAAGTCAACGAAGTCTAACTCAATGGAAAAAGGGCATTGATTTGCAAATTAGTAGTCTCAAGTTCGAAATTCTATGACATCTTGGTAGTGTGTGTGTAAGAAAATCTCTCCATCTTGGATTATCGTTTGTACTAAAAAAAACATAAAATAAGTCTAGTGTTACTCAAGTAACAACACAAACGTAACATGAAAATAAATACGTATAAAATTGGGTTTTTGTCAAACTTTAAGAAAATTATTCTCAAAATGTCTTCCATTATCTTTATTTTATCTTTTCTTTTTCTTAGTCATTATATGTCTTTCGAATTTTGAAGTCCAGCTAATTTAATATAAGAAAAAGGTGGCATCATTATTATCACCCATAAATTGCTCATCATTTTCCCGCTTCCGCTAATTGTCGTTATTTTGAAAAATATATTATTTCAGTTGAAAAAAGTGAGCATATTATTCAATCCAGCTACTAATATTCCAAATGACCCCTAAAACCGGATTTTAGATAACATTCCATAGTGGAATAAAATCGTAATTATCAAAATTTCAAAAAAAGAAAAAAAAAAAAAAAGGGTCAACAATTTGAGAGAGATAATGGCCGCCACTAAGCTATCCAGCCCACAGACCTACGAGTCCCAACCCATTGACGACCTTGGGTCGATCCACGGATACAGGGTCGGGTTAAAATCCAACAGACTGGTTCTCCATATGGGCACAAAGCTGACTTGCTTCCGCTGCGCTTGTTGAAATTCTAACTCCGAGTCTGGTTGATAGCTCGCACAAGTGAAGATGAAGGCGTTGAGTTGGTGGCTGATGCTGGTGGGTTCACTTCGCCTGGTCTCCGTTTGGTTCGGGTTCTTCGACATTTGGGCTCTCCGTCTCGCCGTCTTCTCTCAATCCCCCAGTACACTTCTCACCTCACTTCATTCTTTTGTTTCAACTTTTACTCAATTTTGAATCAACTTCTTCGTTTGGATCCTGTTTGGTTTCTAAGAAAAAAATTTGGGTTTGTTATTTCAAACTTGAAGAATGGAGAAAAACCCATTTCTATTTTTGTGGTTTGCTTCACTAAGATTTCCTTATAAGAGAGCACATAGTGATCAAAGTGGGAATTTGATAGGATATACAGTTGGAATTCTTGTATTCTTAATCTTGTAAGGAAGTCAATGTGATTCTATGGATTGTGTCCAGATATAGATCCAAAAGAGCTGAACTTGTTTTCCTATTTCATCCATCAGTAAATTCTCTTTCTTTGCAAATGCATAATATAATAGGCTGATTTCTCCTTCAATATGTGCTTGTGGGATGAAGGCTTTGTATGGATGTTCAGATTATATGAGATTTCAGATAATAGTAAGTGTTACTGTATTTGATGTCAATGTCACACTGAAGTATATATCTCATTTTGAGAAATTACCCTAAAACTTGCCTTTTGTAATCAATGGGCATGCTATACTCCTAGGCCCTTGCTTATATAAAACTGTACACTTTGCATTTAAAATTTAGAACTTGCTTCTCCGATATCATGAGTTGCTTGTATCAGTATGGCATACTTGACCTAATGCTGCTCATTGCTGGATCAACATTTTAAACTTTCTTTGTTTTTTGTCTTTTGCCTTTAAGTCCATAACAGTGTGCTTCTAATATAGAATGAAGAATGTAGAAAAAGGAATTAGTCTATTAGATTTTTCTTTTTGTTTTTAACTTATACTGTTTTTCTGTCTTTCATGTTTTGCATTTGTGATTCGTATTTTTATTTCCAGTGACTGAAGTTCACGGAAGGACATTTGGTGTATGGACTCTTCTTACTTGCACACTCTGCTATCTTTGTGCTTTTAACCTTGAGAACAAGCCTCTCTACCTAGCTACCTTTCTATCATTTGTCTATGCACTTGGTCATTTCTTGACTGAATACCTAGTATATCATACGATGGCCATTGCAAATCTCTCAACTGTCGGCTTCTTTGCAGGTATCAAATCAATTCACTTGGCTTCATTTTGAATCAATAGATATATTCATCTTTCTTTTTTATATGCTACATGTTTCAAAGCACTTGAATGTGGCTGTTGACTTCTAAGAACCATGGTACAAGAATAAATCATACCGAAAGTGAGGCTTCATGCACTATTTGGGACCAAAAAAAAAATCTGTCAATATGATGATGCTTATCAGAAAAATGAAAGAATTAAATTGTCTATAATGATTATGATGATGCTAGCTTCTTCTGAAGCAAAATTATTTTTAAGAAATAGCAAGACAGGAATCTCATAGCATAAGAATTGGAGAACTGTGTCTTCACATGCTATTGCGAAGTAACCCTGTTTAATTGGAATCAAATATATTCATCTTTCAACTGTTCACAAATGATTTGTATGCTATAACATCTGACGACAAATAGTTCTAAGTTTTTCTTTCTAGTGAATAGCTATATATAATCATGGTGAGCTTAGGAACCAATAATATTTGTAGTAAAAGAATTCTCTTGTGATCTTGATCAGGCACGTCGATAATATGGATGTTGTTGCAGTGGAATGCACATCAACCTCAGCCTTCGTTGAAATCAGAATAAAGTGTCTGGTTGGTTCCTGCCTCAGCTTTCTCCACATATGTTGATCAAGCCCTTTCTTAAACCGTGATTTGATCTCTGTAATTGGAATTGTAATTTTTTACAGCTGCTATTGCTATTGCACTGAAATTTGGCGTAAAATGTATAAGTCTAACTCAACACTGTTGACCAGGCAACATTTTGAGTTGCTGACAATTTTTGAAATCAAGGTCCAAATTAGAGAAACAAAGATTGTCAATCCTTCATCATGTAACCATCAATTCAGTGCAATATTATTTTTTTGGTATAAGGGCAATACTGGAAAAAATCGTTTGTTTGAAGCACAAGGGTTTAGATGGAGTTCCACCTGTTGGGTTTCTAGATGAGTTTGAAGTCTTTACCCCAATAGGATGTGAAGTTTGGACCAAATCTGAATTGGGTTCTTGTCAACTCAATGAATTTGAAGGTTTGGTTGTTTTTAAACTGAGAAAATCATGTACCTTATGACTCAACTCACAACTAGATAAGAGAACACCAATTCAACCACCAAAACCAGATCTGCTGTCCACATCATTCTCTATAAGATTCAGAATATGCTCATATTGGTGTAAAAATTGACAGATATTTATGCTAGACAACTCACAATCTCATCTCATCAATTGGGTTTGGCTGTCATGCAGCAATGTCATTTTCAAAACCAAATTAAAATTAAAAGCTTAATATACAAGCAACATGTGAAAGGCCTAAAACCTAGCACAACTTCAATATAAGCATAGAATTTTCTTCGAGAGCTCCCATCTGTTTCATATGGAGACTGCAATTTTCAGATCTACAAGTTGCGTTTTAGTCTACGATTGTCATGCTCACGAAGTTGTTCGTTTTTCTTTTTTGCACACAAGATTAGTCATTAGCCTAATTGATATCCCCAGATTTAAATTGCAGAAAACTTTAGAATGGTTTCAAGCATTTAAATGAATGCCAACAACATGGGTACATTTATACCCAGTTTTTGTTTTATAGCGTTTAGAGAAACTGCGTTTTCCGGCAGGTCACAGGAAACTGCTTAACAGACAAGGGTTTAATTTAACAGAAGGAATAATAATAGAAGCATGCTTTAGCATTATGAAAGGATAATAACATGTGAGAGCTTAAGAGAATAAACATTTTTCTTAAGCATCAACAGCAAAGCACAAACCATCCAATTAAACTCTCACCACCAAAATAATTCGTTTTTTTTTCTCCAATTCAAATGACATCCAAATTTCAACTTGGGTCATTAAACAATTCACTTCTCCTTTTTATGCATCATGAGCTTCTTCCCAAGAGCTTACAATACAAAGAAACAGCACATAAAACAAAAATAATGAAAAGAAAGATGAGGGTAGAAATAAACAGTACAGAGGAAGGTTGAATTTAGTTTTACAGATTGAACCTGCTGCTGATACATAAACTAGCCTACATTTTACCTGCTATATTGATTTTCTAGCCACAGATTAAAATTCACAAACACTAACCTAATTGCTTTTCATATAAAAAGAAAAGGCAAGCATGAAAATTGTAAGCACCAGAAGAACCCAAATACCACAATCATCATTCTGCTGCTGCCTCTCCATTCTCATCCCCTTCTGTTTTTATCTCTGGCAATGTATCCAGATCTGTGCGAGCCTCTTTCTCGGCTTCGACAATATGAGAATCAGAAGAATCAATTGGATCATGCTGAACAACATCCTCCGTCACATTTGTGGAGTCTGAACCTTCATCTGTCCTGCCAGATTCACTGGTACCATTAGACTCTTCATTATGAGAGGTATCTGTGATCTCCTTGATTGTTGGAGAACTAGAACCATTCTCTGTTTCAGCTATTCCATCAGATCTTAAGATATTTTCTGACACATTAGTCTCTACCTTATTAGAGGAGTTAGATGATTCTCCCAATACCCCATCTGCACTCTCAATTTTAGTAGAAACTGTTGAATTTGAGTCAGATTGGTTGTTCTGGGAAGCTGTGTTATTAGCTTGTTCCACAACCAAGGTTTGTATGGTCATGCCCTCTCCAGTAGTTGTCCCATCCAACGTTGCATTTTGAGAGTGAACGGACTCATATACAGTTTCTGTTACGTTCTGCTGGTATGAATTAGTCGCCCTATTGATTTCTGTTGAGTTATTGCTTGCTTCTGGTAGATCATTAGACTGTGTTTTCACTACTGCATTCAAAAGTGAGCTCTCCACAGGATTGGACATAGCATCATTAACTTTCTCTTCACTTGCGGTTACATTTAAAGAAGTACCATTTTCAGCCATTACACCATCAACCATTCGTGAATTGTCATTAGATTTTATATCCTTTTCTACAGCACTAGCTTCTGAGTTCTCATTTGAGTTTTCGGAACTTACTTGGGTATCATGGGTCACTGCACTAGAAGCATCATCGCCTTTGTAATTTTCCTCTCGTGCCTCATGAGCATTGTTGTCATGGGTATCATTATCCTGATCATCCAATGAATTCTCATTTTCTGCTTGATCCTCTCTCTCTTCACTTTCATTCTTATCACCATCCTTCTCATTCCCCTCATCTTCTCTCTCTTTCTCTTCATCTACAAAGTCCTCATCGTGATCTGCTTCCCCTTCTTTTTTCTCTTGCTCATTTTCATCTATCTCATCATCTCCAGCTCCTCTTCCCTCATCCTCTGTATCTTCGTTCTTGGTTTCTTCCTCCTCTTGCTCTTCTGCCTCATGCTTTGGATCCTCTTCTTCTCGCTCTCCTACTTCATGTTTCTGATCCTCTTCTTCTCGCTCGTCTACTTCATGTTTCTGATCCTCTTCTTCTCGCACTTCTACTTCATGTTTCTCTTCTTCCTCTCCAGCTGTTTCTTCTTCCTCCTCTTCCTGTTGTTTCTCACTTTTAATGACTTCCTGGTGAGGAAGGTCTTTCCTCCCTAGTTTCAGAAGCTCACCATCACTCAAAGTTTTGATTGAGGGTTTTGCATTTTTCTCAGCTAATGCTGCCTTCTTATCATGGGAATGCTTGACCTGATAGATTAACCAAAAGCAGACCCCAAGCAGTAGACAAATCTGCAGAACATGCTTCACCCTGACTCCTTTGGTTTTCTGGTTCCTACTATGAGTCCGCTTGATCATGATGTACTTCCCCTAGAGTACCCTACCCCTATCTTTACTTCTACCTATTTGCAAACATTGCACATGTCAGAAACCTGCCAATAATCCAAAATATAAAACTAATAAACTTAAAAAGATTACTCAACCTATTCAACTCAATCAAATTAAAAGTATAGAACACAAATCAAAGTTTCATCTTATAAAGATTTAACACTGCATTTTAAAATAGAAGCAAACATTGTCAAAACATATTATGCCCAATTGATTTCTCAACTCTCACTGTGTCCCAAACTGAAAGTTCGTTCTCAAATTCGATTAACATTCATAGAGAAGCCATTTGATTTGAGCATAAGACAGTAACGGCGTTAGAAATTGATCCGTTTTTCCTCATACTTGGACATAAAAACACCACATTGATCCAAATACATTAAAATCATAACACAAAAGAGAAGAAATTCAGAATCTAAGGAAATCCATTTTCTTCCTCATAGTTGTTGCTTTTGTAAGAAACAAAATCCATTGCCAGAAACTTAGGGGAAAAAAAAGAAGAACAACAATAGTGAAGTTCCCCATGGAAATCCTAATTGGATAACGAAGTAAAGCCACAAGCAAACCCTAGAACACCGCTCAATCAGAAAGATACTGAAAAAAATATTGACCCACGAAACTTAAACCTAAAAAATCCCATCTTTATTGATCCACAAGCAAAACCCATCTTCAAAAATAGTAAATTGTGAGTACCAAAGAGCTCTGCAACAGTCATAGGCACCAAAGATAGGAAATTTATACTAATCCATAAATGAATAAAAGGCGTTCCTGGAGAAAATAGAAAATGGGAAAGAGCAAGGAGAAAAGTGATGGAGGGGAAGGGGAAAGTACCTGAGAAGCAAAGCGGTAGTAGTCAAAGTGCAGAGTGGGAAAGTAAAAGGCCAAGGCTTGTGGATGTCAAAGCAGTTTTCTGTCACAGACTGTGAGGAGGAGATTGAGAGAGAGTGTGTCCGTGTTTTTCTATACCTCAGTGGGGGATGACCGGATCCAATTCCAATTAAGCTAACTAGGAGCCAGTAGGTAGTAATTAGTAATTGCCTTGTTGTCAGACCCAAAAAGGAAAAAATAATGTGATCATTTAATAACTTTTTTTTTTTGGATTGATATAATTTGAAATAAAATTTTACTCATGCCTAATCATTAAATTGATTTTTATCTAAATAAATTTGAACTTATTTATTAGAATACAGAGCTTGTGTTGAGATAAATATTGAAATTTATTTTTCAAATTTTAAAAGGTTATATGTGCATTTGTGTTAGTATTATAGAAAAAATATGTACCAATCAAAGGTCTAAAGCTAATTCATGCTAGGATTTCCAAAAGAGGAATAATGTACTAAGTTTGGAAGTAGGCAGTAGCAGCATACCCCACATGGGCTCTGTCATGATCTATGGGTAAGCGTTTATTCTTACACCCGAAGTCCTATATTTAACTCACTATTTTCCCCGTATCACTTGTATTTTTTTTAAAAGTCTAATCTCTCAAGCAACTCTTTATGCTATTTTGTTTGAATACTTGAAATTATTATGATTATTATTCTTTTTTTTTTTTTAATAAAAAAATTTCTAACAAAAAAGGTTGCCCCAGAATCAGGCCCCACAACATGGGAGACCCATTGGATCTATTTAATATTATTATATTAACCGTATCTACCTTTCCCTAACCAATGACCATAAGCAAACCATTTTGATACTAATCGTAATATGGAATTTGTGATTCCATCTGAATTATTTGTTTATTTGTTTCATTTTCTTCATGTCTGTTCTGTGTTTTCAACTTTTGAAACTTTACCTAGTTATATGTTCTTACAAAGTCTGAATTCAGTCCCCGCCAGCCGAAGAGGTTATGCTAATCTATTATTTTGCTTCTGTTTTTTTATCAAGTCATCCCACACTTTCTTTTCTATTTTTCTGTGTCTTCTTTCTCTGGATAAACCCATAACTTATTACTAGTCTACATACTCAGTTCTAGTGTAGCAGTATGTGTATATATTGCACCATTCTAAATGAGTTATGTTGCTCACACACATCACCTATTAAGATATAACCTCATGGACAAAGCCATGAGAATTGTTTCAGTTTTCAGATTTCTAAGCATTGCAACCATTACTACCATTAGCTTATGCAATGGAAATTTGGCTGTGCCTTGTAAACAAAATGAGAGACAAGCACTTCTAATGTTCAAGCAAGATCTTAAGGATCATTCAAATAGGCTTTTATCTTGGGTTGGTGATGGAGATTGTTGCAATTGGACTGGAGTTGTCAGCGACAATTTAACCGGTCATGTCCGTGAGCTGCACCTTGGAAATTATTATTCAGATGAATATCTGAATTACAGTTTGTATCAAGAAAGCTCTTTTGGTGTGGCAAGGTAAATACTTCTCTACTAAATTTAAAGCATCTGAGCTACATGGATCTAAGCAACAATGATTTTGGAGGAATACAGATTCCTAGCTTCTTAGGTTCTCTTAAAAGTTTAAGATATCTTAACCTCTCAGACTCAAAGTTCGCTGGAATAATTCCGCATCAATTGGGAAATCTCTCGAGTCTACGCTCTCTAGGACTCCGGAGAAAAAGCTACTACGTAGTGGATGAAGGTTGGGAATCTCCAATGGCTTTCTGGTAAGTCTACGCTCTCTAGGACTCCGGAGTAAAAGCTACTACGTAGTGGATGAAGGTTGAGAATCTCCAATGGCTTTCTGGTCTTTCGAGCTTGCAGAACCTGGACATGAGTGTGTAGATCTTAGCAAAGCATCTGATTGGTTTCAACGTGACAAACACACTCCGGTTGTGAACTCAATCAAATACCAGTTGGTGTTGCAAACATGACAAGGCTTAAAGTTGTTAATCTCAGGTGGAACATCATCTGGGGTACCATACCTCAATGGTTGTACACCTGTAGCAATCTTGAGTCCCTCCTTTATTTGAATCTCTTGCGAGGTGAAATTTCAAGTTCCATTGGAAACTTGACAGCCATGGTCAATCTTGACTTGTCTGCTAATCAAATTGAAGGGAAAATGCCAAACTCATTGGGAAATCTTTGTAAGTTGACGGTTCTTGATCTGTCAAGGAACTATTTCAATGGAAGTGTATGAGAAATATTGGGAAGCTTGTCAAGGTGTAGTTCAGGTCAAATGGAGTCACCGAAGCTGTCAACAAATGATTTTTCAGGTCCACTATCCGATCAGCTAGGAAATTTAAGACATTTACGCCTCCTTGCTCTTTTGAGTAATTCAATATCAGGTCCAATTCCAGTGTTCTTGGGAAATCTGTCGTTCCTAGAAGAGGCAAGCATTTCTGAAAATCATTTTAATGGAACTCTTCCAAAAACTACTGGTCAACTCAAAATGGTAACGGTGGCTTATGTAAAGAGTATAGCCGGTCGGCTATAATATTTATAAAAAAAAAACCTCAGTAAAGCCGGGCGGCTATACTCTTTAAAAAAAATGTATATACACATCTAGAGTATAATGATCCCACCAGACTTGGAAGGACTGGGTACGACAGCAATCAGGCTGGTAGGGCTTCAACTCCAGAATTCGGGCAGACTCCCCATAGTTGGCCCGAACACCCAGGAGGTCTTTCTTACTCAACTTGGGAAATTTGTAGGACGAACCCTTGTTGATTAAAGAGTAGTCCAATTCAGGTATCACTTGGGGGCATCCGAATTGTCTGCTAAAAAACTGGGGACTGTAGGCTTCTACTCCATATTGGTAGTTTCTGGAATCCATTCTCCCACCACAAGGCAGGTCTCGCGCTTGCAGGCATGAGAAAATGTGGTGAATGAGTCGGTTTTCAAACCAAGATGAACCCCTTTTGAGATTCATCATCCACTGGGAAGCATGCCTGGTTTTTCGGCACAGAAAGAAAACGAAACACTCCTCGGTACTAATCGATCTCTTTGGAGTAATGGCCAGAGCGGTATCGGGAACATCATCTTTAAGATATCCTAAGTCTTCATTCCCAAGTTCAGGAAAATACCAATCCAACCATATTTGAGCCATCCAGATAGGGCCACATGCGGCCAAGTTGAGAGGATTGATCATGATTTGGTAAAGACAATGGTAGAGTGAAGCCAACATGAAAGGGCCCGTGGCCAGACCTGATTCGTTATGAAGAGTCTCAGCCAAGTGCATATATTCCGGGTTAACGCCGCCATCTGCGTGAGGAAAGATAAACCGATTGAGCCAGAATAGTAGGAACATCATGTGTTCCTGCTCACGATCAGCCATGCCCTGATAGGTCATCATAAAACCAGCATAGGTTTTCAGACGCAGAATTTCAGCCTTGCTCGCCCTCATCGGGACACCAATCTTCCGATTCTCCACTTCATAGTCCCCTAGAACATCAATATTCCTGCCCCAGGGCCTGAATCCAAAGAGGGCTGCCATATCTAGGATGGTGGGAGTCATAACCGGGCCCGAAAGCGAAAGTGTTCGAGGTACTATCCCAGAAGCAGAGGGCGGCCCCCAGCAGCGAGGGATTTAGGTCAATCAGATTTTTTGACAACAAAATGGCGTAATATATCCCATTTTGCATCCATATATCCTTAAACAGAGATAACATATGATCCACCCAGTCAGACCAGGAAAAGTAGACCTCGGAAACAAGCACATCAGGGTTCGAACCCAGCCGCTCCAAATTGGCCTCCCAGGAGCCCCAATCGATGTCTTCCAAGCCATACAGGAATGGTGCTCGAACCAACTGGGTATCCAAAGAGAAAAGACCCTCCGATTTGGCTTGATTAAGGACCAAGGAATGAGGTTTTAAAGGGGCCTCTTAGGCTTAACGGGAAAGGAGAATAGGCCTTCGACGAAGCATTCGTCTGTTCCTGAGCCAAAGCTGACTGGAACTCGTCGGCATGCTTTACCGCAGCCTGTTCAGAAAGCCAGTCGGGAATCCCAGTGGAAGCCTTCGCGGTCTTCAATTTCTTCGGAGCCATGGCAAAAAGGGGTTTCTGGTTTGGATTCTGAGAAAAAAGGAAAATGACGACAAGCACAAAGCAAGTTGGAAGAAAATGTGTGTATCAGTTTACCCAAGGCAAAGAGGTTCAAAAGTGAGAAGCTGAGAAGTTTTTTTAGCAAGCCGAATTAAATGCCAGACGTGATAGGATAGTCGCTGTCACGAACTTGGCGCGTTACTTTCAAAAAAATATTCTTTTTCGTGCGATTTGACGTCGTAAGAAGCTAAAGAGTTCAGTTTTAATAGACTTGACCCAAGCCCATTAAAACCGGGGGGCAATGTTTGCACCCAATTTTGGTTGATGGACCAAAAGTGGTTCCCTCCTCAAAAGAATATGGTAAAGGCCCAGGCCCAGTGGTTGTCTGTGTTTTCCTTTCTTTTCCAAGAAACCCCTTTTGTTTAAAAAGGACACCAACATAAGACAGGACCAAAGCCGAGGCCCAAGAAAGAGGGCCCAGAGCAATTGGACCGCTAAAAGTTAAAAAAGAAAGAAATGGGTAACCGTTCCCATAGACCCACGCGAGGTTGGAGGAAGAACATCAACATTTAATGACAATCTGACTGTTCCCTCTTCCAGCAAGGAAGCCAGCCGTCTAGAGAAGCCACCAAACCAGAAAAGAACCAATATGCCTATTAGATTTTTAAGTACAAGCACTTCAGAGCAGGGGACCTCTCAAAAAGCCAACGGTTCTCGTCAGAACGTTCAATCACCCCCACTATGGACCAGTCCAGACCGTCAAATCAGCAAGCTGACTTTGGACAACAGCCAAATATCCTTGCTCAGTCATCATCACTTGAGGTCTTCTCTATGCCTATAAATAAAGAACTTCCGTCACAGAAGAAAAGGCCTCTCTCTCCAAGAACCAGACGCAACGTCTTGCAAAACATTCAAAAAGCTCAAGATATTCTCAATCAAACTTGTCCGGATCTCAAATAGCTAGACGACAGCTCCTGTGTTTATCTTTTTATCTCTCTGCCATCTTCATGGTACAACTGTCTTATGAAAATGATCAGTTTGAATTTGTATAATCTAGTTAA